TTATTTTAACTTGACTTTCAATATAAACTTCTTGGGAAGTATGTTTTTAAACCCCGATAACTGTGCTGAATTTCTTCCGTTGTTCTTGGGCGTCTTGCTTGGGCAGAAGCTGGGTAGTACCTGCCTGATTCTCAGATGGGCTCTCACATGGCCGGTGCTGAGCCCTGAGGACCTGTCCTAGTGCATATGGCAGTGCTGCCCCAGCGACCCATCTAGACCCTATCTCAAAATAGAAAACGGGGCCAGAGACGGGGCTCAGTGTGCAGGTCCTAGGTTCGGTCCTCTGTCCAGGAGGTAAGAGAGGGCACACAGAGCACCTTGGGCTATCCCCGCTCCCTGCAGAATCCTGCTGGGACTTCCCTTGTGGCTCCCACCACCCCCGGAGACCCACCTGGGCTTCAGCTGCTCTGTTTCGGGTGAGGTCTGTTGACAGGACTGTGTTACGGTTTGTGTCTGGGCGTCCCTCCGAAGCTCCATGCAGTCACAGGGGGTGGGCTTTTCAGAGGTGGCTGAATCTAGAGTGTGTGGTTGGTTTCTAGTGCAATGCTGGGATTAAGGGTGCTGGGGCTAAGGGTGGGTGACTGTTGGATCAGTCTACTGATTGAACTGGTGCTGCCCTAATCCCAGTAGGATGGATAAGATAAAAGGGGCAGAAGGAGGCTTGTTTCCCCCTTTTGCTCTTGTTGCTTTCGCTATTTTCTGCCACCATGAACTGTTGCCCTTCTGCCCTGTGCCTCCCTGCCTTGGAGCCAGCTTGTTATAGACTGAAACCTCCACAAACTGAGCTAAATAAACCTTTCCCTTTTCAACTTTAGGTGTCAGGTATTGTGTCCCAGCAACAGGAAAAGTAACTAAGACAGACTGTTTTGTCTCAAGGTGAAATGTGTCAAACCAGAGTCGCTTGCTGCGGTCTGCAGCTGTCCTCCAGTTTGGCACATTGCCTTGAGTGCTAGCGGCATCTGGAACTCACTGAGCTGTAGAAGTGCTGGGCGTGCTCTGGGCAGATCCACTGACCTCCATGTGGAGCCTGAGAGACACCTTCCCTGTCCCTCCTGGACCTGCAGCCCTGTGGTCACCTGGGCCCTGGAGAGGCCAAGGGCCAGTCCTGAGTCTTTCCTGACCTGGCCCCAGGAAACCTGACTGTAGCGTGCAGTGAACGGCACCCTGGTGTGGCCACCATGGGGGTGTGAGGTGCGTGCCAGGTGCTGACCGCAGGGTGGCGGCCCTGGGGTGACTGTGCTGGAGGGAAACAGTGCTCCCAAGGGGGTGACTTTCTCCATTTTGGGGAAGATACTGGCTCTTCATGTGTTTAAATAGATCCTGGACTCTATATTTTATAAAAACCTGCTTATCCTTTTTGAAATTTTATACAGTAAGATTTATGAGTAGAAGCACAATTATCTGATTAAAAACCTTTAATCAAGAATATTCATTTCTAGATATGATTTCCATATTCTAGAGGGGCTAATTTTGCAAAAATGACTTTACCAAGAAATACTTCTAAATATAAGTAGATATCTGATGTTCTATTCTTAATTGACATAGTTTAGATGGATAAAATAGTATGATTAATTATTACTTATCAAATAATAACATTTCTAGTACTAACTTGAATTTCCAAAGCTAGTATTTTATAATATTCTCTGTTGGAGAACTCACGACAAATGATAAAACGGTTCCAAGAAAATATGGTTTAACTCTAGAGGTTCTAAAACTTTGAAATTTTTGGCCCAGGTTTTGCCCTTGATTATTATGGTCAAATTTTGTTTTCCCAGATTAAACTCATGTGGCATTGATTTAGCCTCTATAAAACCTTTATGGACATTCAAAAATGTATCTCTGCTAACATTTTTAACACTTCTGTCTTTCTGTAGCATGATGTGTGTAGTAGTGGGCATCTAGTGTTAAAATGTGTTGTCTTCACATTAACAATGTTGTGTGTGTTTGTCTTAATTACTTTTCTCCTGTCGCTGAGAGAAAATACCCAACACTTACAAGTTAACCGGGAGAGGTTTATTTGGCTCGCAGTCTGTGGAGGGTTCAGTCCGTCACCAGCTGGCTCCAAGGCGGAGTAGCACATGGCAGAGGGGCATCGCAGAGGAGAAGCAGTCAGTAGCAGGCAGAAGACAGCAGAGCAGTGAGGGACAACCACAGCTCTTCCTGTCCTTATGTCTCGTCCAGGCCACTAGGGGCAGGTAGTATCCACAGCCTTAATCCTAGTGCCCTGGAGCCTAGAAGTGCTCCAGGCATCCATCCCAGCATCACACACTCTAGATCCAGCCACCTCTGAAAATCCCCACCTGGGACCGCATGAGGCTTTGGGGGACATCTAGATGCAAACCACAGCAGTGTTTTATGATGACATTTTTGCATTGATATTTGTAGTCATGTAAAATTAGACAAAGTACCCTAGAACAGGCATTTCTCCTTTGGTCAAGTCCTCCTGACCTGGGTGGCTTCCTCGAATTTCCACGTGGTGGTGTTCGTGATGGTGAGATGTCCACCCTAGTGTGGACCTGGGCCAGGAGGTGTGTGGTGGACTCTACATGCAAGCTCCCCATTGCTGGTGTCAGACATAGTTGTTTCGTTTCTGTTTTCTGTTTTTTAAAAATACACATCTTGAATTTGGGCTGAGGTGGAGACACAGATTAGCAATTTTATGATAGGATCGATTCACGAAGTTGATGTTAAGTATTTGCTTTGAAAATCTGTTAAGCTGCAACGTTGCTTAACCAGCGCACATGAACCGGGCTCAGGGGCCGGCGGCCCATTGTTCAGTCCCATTATTTTCAGAATTAGAAATCTGTACCTCTGTTGGGAGTGGATGCCTTCACTTGGAAGGAATTTTTGATTCCTTCTCGCTTGGCCAGGGCCAACTCCAGAACAGGCGAACACTCTGAAAAGTGTCAAGAGTATATTAGAAACAGATGTGCATTCAACACCTACACGGAATCCTCTGCGAGGTAAAGTGTGCGTAGGCGGCAGGTTTAGCAAAGGATCAGACTTAAAGTATCAGGACTCATAACCAGGCCGAACTTAGTTTGCCATTTAAGAGGAGCAGAAAGAGGTCTAAGAATAGTGAGTTCCAATTACACTGTGTGCCTCTCAGTGTGATCGCGGTGATTAGGTGCGCTTTCTCTGGTTTCTGCTCCCTGGTTTTCTTGTCTTCTGCATCCATGTGCCCTTTGTCAAAGAGACCTGTGTGGGCTGGAGCGGGGATCACTGTCCACTGCCCTTTGGGGAGTTTTCAGTGTCTGTGTGAAGTGGTTCATCTTCAGAATGTGGGTGGGTCTTGATTAGAAGTGTGTTTTGCTTGGAAGGATGAGGCTCTGGACCTCAGCAGGCTTCAGGGCTGGAAGAGCTGAAGCTTTCAGGGAGAGCAAATAAACATGGTCATCAAAGTAGGGAATTAAGATCTATTTATTCACCTGCACACTTGAATTAAATCTCACAGCAATGGGTGGGGCCCCTTGAGTTACAAAGTCCTGGTGAAAGTCACGTGAACGCCTGCCCTGCCTGTGTTAGGGCAGAGGCGGTGGTGGCTGCTCCGGGATGGAGCCTGCGGGACTGCCGAGCGCTGCTTCCTGACCCAGTGCCGTCAGGGGCGCGGGCGCAGCGCGGAGGGTGATAAACTGGAAAGCCGAGCTCCAGGCACAGGGCAGGAGTTTCGCGCTGCAGAAGTTGCTCCTGCCTCTCTTCCTCCACATTTGCTAAACGGCTGAGGAAGACGGAGGCCGCAGAGAGCACTTACTGTGGGCGAGGCTCACATCACTGTTCTTTAAGAGAATTCTGTCTGGGTAGCACTGTGAAGAGATCTGAGGTGGGCGTGAAAGTATCCCTTAATTCCTTTTCACTGTCTAAATCTGTCAGAGTTCAAGTAAAGAAAGGATACTTCTAATGGCTTTAAAGATACCTTTAGGAAAATGAATGTGGAGCCTGCTCTGTTGACTCTGACTTCATCCCTGTGGTCAAGATGAAAGTTGGCTTCTGATACAAACAAAGCACAGCCTGTAATTTGTGCGGATTCCTTGGTTCTGTAATTCTGTTCCTCTGGACTTCTGACTGCGGGTGTGATTGATGGTGATGAAGAGCTCTTGGTTTAATCTTTGAACTGAAAGTCAGTCTAGCTTCGGCCTTAGTTTGTGAGGATGAGGGACAGAGGCTTCTGCTGTTTGTAAACCTTCGCATTCCCTTCACACTTCAAAGCCGGTGTAGGCTCTGCATAGCCTTGATAGAGCTGCTCCACATCCCTCATTAAATTCCAGAGCAAGGCAGGAGGTGGGATGCAGAGCTCTGGGGCGCTGTGCACAGCCCCCCTGGTGGCTCCTGCCCTGGCTTTCATCTGTGGCCGGCATGGGCACTCTGGCAGTGTGTAAGGGACGTCCCTTTTCCACAAGTCACGCATTGCTTCTCTAAGCGTGCAGCAGCGGCTTGTGCTTCGGCTGGAGAGTGTCCTTGGTCGGCCCTGAGCACGCGGAGTGGGATCCCCACACCGGGCTCGAGTCTCCCATTCCCACTCTTCCCGCCCTCTGTCCACATCCACCCCCGCCACGCTCACCTTTTCCTGCAAGAGAGGTTGGCCTGTGCCACAGGTCTCTGGAAGCCACGCACAGTCTGCTCAGGACCCCAAGAGCAATACCAGGATAAACCTCTCCGGAGGGTGCTGGGGAAGCATGGGCAGGGTGGCCTTCCTGGGGGAAGCTTTATAAGTCATCATTATCTAATCAGAAAGGCACAGCAAATGCTGCAGGGACTAAAGACAGGGAAATTGACAGGCAATAAAAGGCAGAGCAAAGCAGTGAGCTGGGCTGTCACCACCCCAGTGAGAAGTAACCGAGGCCTGAGTCTAAGATTCCCGGAGAGAGTTGCCACCCAGTCTGTGGGAGGTGCCAGGAATATAGAGGCCAGAAGAGGACCACCGTTAGTCACTGATGATCCTGGAGTTGTGAGGCTCAGACACCGACAACAAGAAAACTGGTCTTCAAGACTGCAGCCTTGAGATGAACGAATGCGGTACAGAGGAGAAGAAGCAGTCGAGCCCACACTTGGCAGACGGGATGCAGACGCAGGTCTAGGTCACAGTGTGCAGAGAGGATTGTAGCTCAGCCAGACCCGAACAAGTGGTGCCATTTGTATCGTGTGCAGCCTTGCAGTGGGAGCTCCTTCTAAAAGTGGCTGCCAGCTCAACGTTACCGGGTTCTAGGTTGTTCGCCTCTCCTCCTGGAGTTGGATTCCAGGTTCTTCTCCTCTTGAACGAAGAATTGAATGAAACAAACAAAACGCAGGGGCAAAGTCTATTTGAAAAAGTAAAAGTGAAGAGCGGGACAGAAACTAGCTCTGCAGAATGAGCTTGTGTCAAGTAAAAGAGAAAAAGGCAAAACAAAAGACTCCCTGGAGAAAGCGGGGGTGGGGGGGGGTGAGGGCACGGGCGGTTCTCCTGAGGGAAGCCAGGTCAGGGAGCTCTTGGTGGCACCTGTGTCCTTTATGCTGTCCACGTGTCCAGGAAACTGAGAAAATGTCCACATACCAGTCCTGAGAGGTGGTGTTCAGGTCCCACACTCAGGCTGATGTCAGATCTAGTCCTTCCTGTGGAAATCCTGCTTGAGTTCTTGTGAGAAGTCCATGCTTGGGAACTGTTCCGCGCATTGTTCTGGGATCTTGTAATTAACAAGTCACGCCTACTTCTCCAGCCAGCTTTGCCACACCCGAATCTACCATGTCAGTCTCATCACGCTTATGAAGAATGCAGTGGTGACGCCTCTGTGTGTGGCTGTAAAGGAACATGCAGAAAGCTGTTGTTAGACGTAGAGCTCGCCTTGACCTCACATAATAGCACCTTAATCCTCACAGACACAGCAGTCATCAGCAGACAGAGGCAGAGGCTGGCGTGATGCTGCCACTCCCAGGAGCTTCCTGCAGCCACCGCAGCCTGGAGGACAAAGACGGGGCATCCTCTGGGCCTTCAGGGAGTGGGTCTTGCTGACACCTCAGCTCCAGGCCGCAGGACTTCAAAATCAGTGCCTGCTGATTAAGCTGCCAATAATTTGTTATAGTAGTGCATGAAAACCAACACGGGTCTCTCAGCGCTCTGCTGTGGGTCTTTTCTATCAGTTCTCATCCCCCAAAGGCAGACAGTGGTCTTATTTCTCTTCCCACAAATTATCTCTACCTGTCCTTGGCCTTAATAGAAATTAAATTAGATAGAGCAGAGATGGCAAACCTTTCACAGCTTTCACTAATACAAACAGCCTGACGTGGCTTGCACACGTGGGTTCTCCACTGCTGTGGGGACAACACGCTGGTGCTGTCTTTCGATTCTTTTAATCAACCTATCACGTATGACTCCCACCCGTGCTGAGGGCAGCTGCACTTTGGTCCCTTTTGTCACTGAGCTAACTTCATAGCCTGAATATTTACTTTCCCGACCCATTCACAGATGTTTGGGGTTCCCTCGCGCTCACGTCGTTGTCTGTGTTGTGTGTGTTTGTAGCTATCACGGGTGTAGAAGTCAGGCAACCTGTCACTGTGGTTGCAGTCGTGACTTTCACATTATAGTGAGTCTGTTTTACTTAAAAGTTCAGTTTCCACTGGACTTCCCTATTAACAGCACGGAACCGTTGCCTTCATGTTGACTTTGCTTACATCTCCCATGTGACTGCTGCCGAATTTAGATGTTTACTTTCAAACTTTCAAACTTAATCATTTATTTAATCTACACTTTCACATCTGCACCAGCACACTGGTGCAACCCTTCCTGCGGGAGCCGTTTTATCTTTTTTTCTCCCATTCCCCAGTTCATTAGTTCTTTTGGTGGATGCTTGTGTGTGTGGGGTGCGTGTGAGAGAATAAATTCCTTGTTTTTATTTTAACTGAAAACATTGTGTTCTCATTCTTAAACTGAAAATTAAGATGCTTATAGAATTGTGGTTTGATGATTTTTGTTTCTCATTTTGAATATAGTATCTCTCTAACACTTACTGCTTCTGATCAGGAATCAGTGTCAGTCAGATCTGGATTCCTTGTAAGTAATTTGCTGTTCTTCCCCGGCTTGGATCTCTTCCTATGGAAATGTGCTGTGTTCTGAGTAAAAAGCCTTCTTTTTGCCCAGTCTGCCGGGCCCCACGATTTTCCATCGAAAGCCTCCTGGCTGTGCTTCTGGGAGATGCTGCGCTCTGCCCTTGGAGCGCTGCGTGCTGAGGCTCTCGGAGCCTCTCCTGCCGAGGGACTCGGTAGCTGGGTCCTGGCATTTCTTCCTTTTGTCTTACATGCTTCCTTTTTCCCTTGCTCTGTTGCTGAAGTTCTTTAAGTGTGTTTTTTGGTTGTGTCACTTTCTCCTACTTTACTGTTGAATTTGCCAGTGGAGTTTTCTCCCTTCGGAGTGTTGCACTCTAACACGCACACCGCTCCTCTCCCCACGCGGTCTGCGTCCATCCTCGGTCTCGTCACGGGTGCTGTGGACGGCCACCACGAGGTGCTCCTGTCCTCTCACCGCGGTTGGTGAGTCTCCCTGTGGAGCTTGCTTGTCGTGTGACCTGTGCATTTGGTGACCGTGTAGTTTTCCCTCGAAAGTCCCAGGTCTCGGGGTTGCAGCAGCTTTCCAGCCGGCAGTCTTGTGTGCTGTTTTCCTTGTAGGTTTTCCTGAATCTGCACAAGATTTATGTGAGCGCCTTGACTGAGTGGCCAAATCTACATGGCAGCTTGGACTTGGGTTTCATGCCTGACGTCTCTTAGCTTGCTTTCTCCCTCCTTGGCTGACCCCGCCCCCCTGCCCCACCGTGCCCTTGATCTGGGTTGCAGTATTTCTCTCTGGGAAGTTGGGTGGGGTGTCACTGTCTCATTGCTGGTTTATCTCGGCTCACAGTTTTGAGAGGTTTGCTCCATAGTCAGCTAGCCCCAAGGGAGGAAGGGCGTGGCGGGAGGGCAGTGGGAGAGCCGCTCGTGTCCTGGCTCCAGGAGGTAGAGGGAGTATGGTGGGGGGAGACTTACCCATCCTGGTCACATTGCAGCGACTGCTCTTCTGACCAGGTCCCACCCCCCAAGAGCACATTCGGCTGTGCGTTCTTCAGCAGGAGAATCCACTAATGAGTATGGGGTCCCCAGGATCCAGTTGCTTCCAAAAGCCCTGCTTCTGAGTGCAGGGGTGTTTGGGGGGACACTCTAGACCTAAACCATAATGGGGTGATAGTACTTGCCGTGGACAAAGAACTCGCAACTTCTGTCTAACAAAAGCACAAGTGAAGTTGTCCTCTCCCGTGGTGTGCTGACCAGAGGTCTGATCACACTGGCGTCTGAACGTGCTTTTTGTCTCTGGTTTCTTTCAGCCAGCTACGTGTCAAACCCCATTTGCAAGGGCTGCCTGTCGTGCTCCAAGGACAACGGATGCAGCCGGTGCCAGCAGAAGCTGTTCTTCTTCCTGCGGCGGGAGGGCATGCGCCAGCACGGGGAGTGCCTGCACGCCTGCCCGGCGGGCTACTACGGGCACCGCGCACCCGACATGAACAGATGCGCACGTAAGCACAGCTGCCTCCGGGGTTGCTTTCGGTGTCCGAGGGGCTGCGGAGGGCTGGAGACAGCTCAAGCACCAGTGGCAAGCCAGAGTGGGGGTGGCGCACTTGAGCTTTACCTCTGTGTGCCAGTGCGTCCCACGGGTACACGCATTTTAATCCTCATTGAGATCAAGTGTTTTCGCCGTACGCTCTCCCGCAGATGCTGGCTGCTTATTCATCACGAGGAGTCTGAACCCTTTTCGGGGAGCGTCCCTTTGGCCAGCCACAGTCCCTCTTGTTCTTTCTCTGACACCTGAGTTGATAATACTTACTGTAGTCTCACCTGCAGCTACGTATATGCATTTTAGGTTGCTTTAAAGCACCATGACTGCTAAAGTATAACTAGATTATTTAGTTTATTTCAAAGTATTCTGAGTTCTACACTCAACAGCAATAAAAAAATGTTGTCAAGGAGAGACGTTTGTGCATAGGAATGAAAGTTTGTTCACCTGTTCGTCTTCTGATCCAAAGGTCTCTTCTCCAGTGGTTGTACTCTTAGTAGACAGTGGAGCTTAGCACTGCTGAATGCATGTGTGGGTCTTACGTTTCTCCCTCACTCATCCCCTGTGAATACTCGGCCAAGAGGCCTTTGGTGAAGTGGAGCTGCACTGCCAAGGCCGGCATCATTGGGGAGGAGGCGGGATGGCGGGGTGGCGAGGTGGTCTAGAAAGAAGGAACTGCACCCAGGTCAGAAACCGTGTTTGGAATGAGTGCATCTCGCCTGGCCTGTCGCTGGGCAGCGGCAAGGCAGTTGTTTCGAAGGACCTGCACAGGCAGTCACTTAGTACCTTGATCCCTGTGCACTAAATGTGCTGTGTGTCCTCAAATCATGGTGACAAGCAAGATGTCCTTGAACATTTCCAGACACCCAGGATGGGAGAGTGGGGCATCTCGGCGCACAGAGGTGGAGGTGGAGAGCGTAGCGGTGACGGCTGGTGAGGGCTGCATGGTGGGCTCAGGGCTGGCAGAGGACTGAGGGGATCAGTTGGCTTAGTGAGGGCATGGAGTGGACACATGGACCACCTTCCTGAGACCGCTCCTGTGAGGAGGGTGGAGGGGTCGGCCGCAGAGCAGGACACCGCACCATCGCAGATTAGAAATCTTGTTCTGTGGCAAGTTCATGGGTAATAAGCTCAGAGGCTTTTAAAGTAGAATCCATGGGACTTGGTAACCAATTGTGCAGTGGGAAGGGGAGGAATCAAATTTCAGCCTAAAATTTCTAGCTGGGTCTACAGTGGACAGTTTTGCCAGTAGCAGAGATAGGAAGACGTAGGCCCAGAGGGGATTTTGGCTCATGTTCTTTTCAGGGAATTGCTTGGATTATCGTGGGGGCGCAGCTCCAAATGCGTGTCAGTGGGTTAGCTGGTGTTTGCAGAGATGTGTTTTGTTCTTCAGGTATCTGATCTGGACTCCCTGATAACTTCTCTTAGTCTGAACTCATCTGTAGTGGGTGGGTCCACCTTGAATGGTTTCCTTTTGATACTCTTCAGACCACCTGGTGGGATGTGGTTTTTTTTTTTTTTTTTTTGGTCTTTTTGAGACAGGGTCTCGCTATGCAGTTCAGGCTGGCCTTGAGCTCACTTTGTAGCCCAGGCTGGTCTCGAGCTCACAACAAACCTCCTACGTCAGCCTCCTGAGTGCTACGATTACAGGCATGCACCACCATGCCTGGCTCTGGCCTTTTAAATTTTCTTTCTCTTTTTTTCCCGTTTGGTACCAGGAATTGAACTCAGGACCTTGTACTTGCCAGGCAGGCTCTGTGTCATTGAGCTACATCCCTGGCCCTACCTGGTGGGATTTGAATGGCTCGTTCCTGGGTGCTTTCTAGTCCTGACCCTGGGTGCCCAGGAGACGGCTGGAGATGTAGGTGGACGAGGCAGCTGGGTGACAGGGTGGGCACTGTGGGCTGGCTCTGGGTGGCTGGTCCCACTCTCCCATCCTGCCCACAGCCCCTGCAATGCCCCTGGGGTGGGAGTGGGTGGTCTCCCCAGCACTCTGTCCAGGGAAGGGGCTGCAGGACTGACATGCAGTGCCGAGTCCACCCTCCTCTCAGAAACGCAGTGACTAGAGACGGCTTAAGAAGCGAATCTACTCGTGGGCATGGCCTCTAGGTGAGACCAGACAATGCTGGAGTTCACCGACCTGGAGGACATCATTTCTCACCTTGTCTGAGTGGGAAGTGCTTATGAGCAGGAGTCCACAGAAGCAGAGGGAGTGTGGGAAATTGTTTATTCTTAGTCTACTGCTCTGGACAGCCACGGATCCACTGCAGTATTTCTCCTTTTCATAGATTCATTCTAATGACTGACACTTATATCCTGTCTCGGGAATGAGGAAGACTTAAACTGGAAAGGACGTCACAGATGTAGGATCTAAAGCAAGACCCAGTTTCTGTTAAGACTATACCTTGAGCCACAGTGGTTGGAAACTGGCTTATCTGCTTGCTAATCGATGTGGTGAGACTGCGGGTGGGAGGCTGTAATCTTTCTTTGGAGGAGACTTGTGTGTGAAATGTTGGTGGGGGTTGAGGTCTTGGTGTAGTGTGACACCGGTGAGACCTGCACCTGGGAGGAGCGGGTGAGTGGCCCTGGCTGGCCCCCAGCGCGTACACAGATGGACACTGCAGCTGCTGTCCCCTGACGCTGGGCTAGGTAATGTGCACTTGTCCTTTCTGTCTCTTTGCAGTCATTCGTAAACTCATTTCCATAAAAGCTTTTTCTAAAATTGTTATACACATTCTTGATAGAAAGCTTGGAAGGTATATATGTAAACTTTAATAGAAAACAAATGCAAACTCTACACAGCACACCTCCACAGCAACACATGCTAACATGTTGGCTTCTGTTCTTGACATCTCATTTCTAGGACATTAATGTCTTTCCTGTCTTACAAGTGTTGTGTTTTGTCTCTCATTGTAACGCAGTGAATTAGGAACATTTTTTTCATGCTGTCGGCTGTAATTCCGGGAGTTCTCCTGAGAGGGAAGACCGTACGTGTTGGCTGATCACCTGTCAAAAACTCGCTTTTCGCTTTGTGCAACTATATGCAGTTCTTTGGGAAGTAGCCGTGCGTGTGAACGCTTGCTCTTTCCGTGCACACACATTGTTACACATTTCTCCGATTTATTTTTAGAAGATGAACTTTTACACATAAAATATACTTTGCAGACTTCCGGGAGGTCTTGTTGGAGGTGCAGTCTGCTCCTCCACCCTTTTTCCTGAGCAGCAGTGTGGACGTGTGAAGATGCGTTTTCCGCTTCCGCGTGCTTCTCTCTGGTACAAATGCAGTTGGACGCTCGTTTCTTACATGAGTATTCACATTCTAGGTTGCTTAGCAGAGGCTCTTCCTGTTTTCCTTTGTGAAAACTGTCTTGTTATTCATCATTCAAAACACCTCTAGATGAGCTGTAGCACAGACTTCCAAGTTTACTGAGGGGGAATTTAGGGGTCGGCCGCTCTCCTACCAAGCGGAGGAACAGGGCCCTGCCTGGCCACAGCCTTGCTCCTGCTTTTCCTGTCAGCACAGCTGCCGCCCGGCCTTGTCCCAGGAGGTATCACCGCAACAGCACTGCACACAGGGCAGGAGTGGAAGCAGTCCGCTGTCCACACAGCGGGACACCACGCGAGTCCAGCGTCTCACAGGGGGCCTTGCAGATGTGGAGAGCAGGAGGCAGGCGCAGCCTGGTCTCAGTAAGTCATGTTGGGTGGGAGAAGCTGCAGGAGCAGGCACAGTGGCAGGAGCTTCAGCACCGGGCGAAGCTAGCTCAGTGCTGGGTGCAAGACTGTGGCTCTTCCCGCGAGCTGGCTCCAGCCCAGAGCCTGGAGATGCGGTGGTCCTCGTTTCCGCCGTGGCGGAAGCCTCAGATGGCATTGTTCTGCCACTTGGGGAACAGTGCGGTGTCTGGAGACTTTCTCAGTTATGGGGGGCTGTGGACATGGAGGAGCACCCAGCAGGGTCCAGGAGAGAGCCCTGGCAGCACGGAGTCTTGCAGCGGACCAAGCAGCTCAGCCGGGGGCAGCCGGGTCGGCCCAGTGACTGACCTGGTCCTGAGTGTGGCTGGTAGTGCAGCTTCTGCCCTGTTTCCCTCTCTGACTTTTGTGCTTTTGCTCATTGAGGTTTTAAACGTGCGAACGAGCAGGTTATATATTTCTGTTTCCTGGGCGGAGCCACCTAAACCAGGTAAATCCTTCCTAATCGGGAGGGATCACAGCAGTGGCGGCTGGCAGTTTTGAAGCTGTGGGGTGTCGAGGTCTCAGCAGGTGTCAGCACTGAGGCAGAGGGAGGGGAAGAGGTGCACAGCCAGAGCCCTGCCCACTGCTGAATGAAATACGGCAACGGGATTTGATTTTGTACACAGCCGCAGCCCGCAGTGAGACTGGCTGGACGGCGGGGGCCAGAGCAAGCCAGATCTTTGAGGATGCGCTCGAGCAGTTTAAACTGCTCGCTGAAAGGTGCTGGTGGAGGCAGTGCCGCAGTTAGGGTGTAGAAGCGCTTTATGAAGGGTGAGTTGGAGGAGCCAAGATGAAGGCACCGAGATCAGTCACACCGAGGAAAAGCGAGAGCAGCTCTTTCTGGGCAGAGTCCGGCTCATGCCTGAGCTGCGGCCTCCCCCTCCGCACTTCCCCTCCTCCCTCTCCTCGCCCTCAGCTCCCCTCTGCTCCCTGTGTCTTCCCTTCTCAGCCCTGGTCAGTTTGCTAGCGGGCTCCGTGCTTTACTCCGTTTTGTTTCTCTCTGAGTGGCAGCAGGATTTCGAGCTGTCACGCCTGCTGTGGAGTCGCTGGTCCTGAACAAGAAGGGAAGGTCGAGGGAGTGGGTGGGGTGATGGAGGGAATCTCTGGGCTTGGGAATGGGGAGCAGTGGGTGGAAGCCAAGGCTACAGGGAGACACACGGATGGTGTGGGCTGCAGATCCAGGGGTGGAAATCAGCAGGGCGTAGGACCCGCGAAGCACATGCCTCCTGGCAT